CCGGTACCAGGATACCGCGAATGCTTGAACTTTGGGGGGCTGAGCCCACTCCCCAAACCTGAGCCCCCCAAATCCTCAAGTCCTAAACCCCCGAACCCTAAACCCCTAAACCCTCAACCCCTAAAGCCCTCAACCCCTAAACCCCTAAACCCCTAAAAACCCTCAACCCTAAACCCCTAAACCCTAAGCCCTAAACCAGGAACCCCAACCCCTAGACCCAAGATACCTGACAGAGGCGAGCCGGTCTTTCATCCGGGACTACCATTGTCTGCTCCCAAAGGGTCCTAGGTACTGTTATGGGGGATACTTTCCCAAATCATAATAACAATTCCTACTATAGAATCCCTACATTCTACCATATAGGTACTGGACCCTTTGGGGCTGGAATTCGAGGCCGAGGAGACTTCGTGCTACCGGCCAAAGGCGCGCATGTTGCGGGGATGATCCCTATATCCCTAAACCCCAAGCCCTACCAGGACCCCCCAATGGCCCTTTAATGGAGCCCTTATGGTCCCTAATAGTAGGTATTTGGGGTATAATAGAGGGTAGTTGGGGGGTCTAGGTATACCCTAAACCCATACCCAACACCCGAACCCTAAACCCTAAACCCTAAACCCTAAACCCTAAACCCTAAACCCTAAACCCTAAACCCTAAACCCTAAAGCTGTTGTTGAGACTTCTGGTTTGGATCTTCAGTTGCGGAGAGTCGAGGTGCAAGGTCTCTGTCTTTGGGGTGGGGTTGGGGCTTTGGGTGCTGCGGTTTAGGGCTCACCCTAAACCCTAAACCCTGAACCCTAAACCCTAAACCCTAAACCCCAGGGTTTGGGGTTTGGGCTGGGCTTTGAGCTTCGTCGGTGCGGGGAGAAGAAGCTGCTGTTTCTTTGGGTTTACTCTTCTAGGGTTTATCTAGGGTTTTCAACTTCTTTAACACCACCTGAAAAACGACAACCGCTCCCATCGAAGTCTTTCAAGCTAGAGCCAAAACCCAAGCCTCAAATCCGACCCTAAACCCTAAGACCCTAAACCCAAAACCCTAAACCCAAAACCCTAAACCCTAAACCCTAAACCTTAAACCGTTAGCCCCAAGCCCTTAAGCCCTGGCATAAAGCAGAAAGACGCCCGAAACCCTATTGACCCTTCGCGATACCAAACCTTTCAGGGCTTCTGCTGTCGCCGTCGAGAGGGTTTCGGATTTAGATCTTGGAGGCAAGTTCATGGTCTCGGACGAGGGGTTGTGGCGTTAGGGCTGTGAGGGTTTAGGGTAAGGTCTAGGGTTTTGGATTTAGGTTGTTGGATTTTGGGTGTAGTGTCTAAGCTCAAGGTTTGGGGTTCCGGGTTTTTCAGTTTCAGGGTTTAGGGTTTAGTGTTTTTCGGTTTCAGGTTCTCCGGTTCAGGGGGGCGGCAGGTGCGACCTTTTGCGCTCGACGTTGCTGCTTGGCATTACTAGTCAGTAGTCAGTAGGGTGTGAACGCTGCAGGCTTCGAAAGCCCTAAACCCTAAGCCCCAAACCCGAAATCCTCAACCCCAAACCCTAAACCCTTAACCCTAAACCCTTAACCCTAAACCCTAACCCTAAACCCTAAACCCCAAACCCTAAACCCTAAACATGGTAAGTCCTAAATCAAAGCCTACACCCGAAAGTCTAACCTCACCCCCAAAGCCAAATGCTAAGCCCTAAGTTCTAAGCCCTATAGACCCTAGAAAACCAGAAGCTGTTGCTGTTTTGGCCCTAAACCCCAAACCCTAAACCCTAAACCTAAACCCTAAACCCTAAACCCTACACCCTCAACCCTAAGCCCTAACCCTACACCCTAAGCCCTAAACCCTATCCTTCGTCTGGAGTTGATCTAGGGACAGGGCGCACAGCCCACAGCTTGCTGCTGCAGTTCCTTTTGAAGCCCTGAAATTGGGGGTTTTAAGGTTTAGGGTTTAGGGATTAGGGGCTTTGGGGGTTTAAGGCTTTTCGGGGTTTAGGGGTTGAGGGTTTAGTGTTTAGCCTTTAGGGTTAAGGTTGAAGGTGCAGCTTTCAGCGTTCACGGTCTAGGTTTTCTGAAACCCTGAATCCGAAACTGGGCCCGAAAGTTCTGAACCCGAGCCGCTTGGACCATTATTTTCATCAAAGGGAGAATAATGCTCATGAGGCATCGTGCGAAGGCCGGCAAGACCTTTACGACATCTTTCACTTTACCAAAATCTCCCCGAACCTCTAAATCCCCTAAACCCCTGAAGCCCTACACTCCTGAACCCCTAAACCTGAAACCCTCCGGTGCTGCTGGAAAAAGATCCGGTTCAAAAAAAAACCATAACCCTCATCTCAACCCTAAATACCAGAAGATCGAGCACGTAGCCTCAGCACGTAAGCCGTAGCCACTCTGTACAACACCCCGGAGCCCTCTACTAGGCCCCAACGCACGGTTTTAGGGTTTCGGGTTTAGGGTTTAGAGTCAAGGGTTTAGGGTTTAGAGTTCAGGCTTTCGGGTTTAGGGTTCAGGGTTTAGGGTTTAGCGATTGGTTGAGGGTTCCAGTCCGACAAACTCTGTGCAGCTGACTACGCACCTTACCTATCAGAGGCGGCAACCTTTAACCTTTCTGGGGATACTAAAACCCCAAACCCTAAACCCTGGAGAAAGAGGCTATTGCACTTTAAAAAAACCCTAAACCCTAAATCCAAAACCCTAAACCCTAAACCCCAAACCCCAAATCCTAAATCCTAAACCCTAAACCCTAAACCCTAAATCCTAAACCCCATATAATCCCAAAGGTCAACCTTTAGTTCCCCTAGGATCCTGGACATGTAAGCTTGGGCTTTGAGTCCAGACAACCTTGTGACAGCCTTCGAACTTCCAGTTTAGGGATTAGGGTTTATTGGTTCATTGGTTTCGGGTTTAGGGTTTAGGGTTTCGGGGAGCCTTCCAAGCTCTGCAAGAAGAGCCGCTGAAGTGTTCGTGAAGCTCTAGAGGCCTCCCCAAGATAGTCAAGCTTTTCGAACACGCTTGCAGCTCCCTAACCCTGCCCCCAAGCCCTAAATCCTAAAGTCTAAACCCTGCGGTTGAGACTTAACTAGGAAGTCCTAGGTTGAGACTTAACTAGGAAGTCCTAAACCCTAAACCCTAGAACCCCAGAACCCAAAAACCCTAAACTGGCCCTAAACCCTAAACCCTAAACCCTAGAATGCTAAACCCTAAACTCAAAATTCCTCCGAGGGGCTGCCGGAGGAGTGGGCCGCCCAAGTGGGGCAAGCTCGGGCCTCGGATGTTGATGTTTTGGGTTTAGGGTTTAGGGTTTGGGGTTTAGGGTTTTGGCTTCAGTTCTGGGGTTCTAATGTAGGGGCCCAAATAATTTCTTATACTATTGTGGGGTTTCTTAGTAAAATTATAGTATAATGGGCCCCAAAACCCCATTCTAATTATTAAGGCCCCTATATCTTAGTTAAACTCTTATAACACCCTTTGTAGTCACCCTTTTAAAGGAACCCTTAGAGGAACCCTATTTAATTATTAAGGCCCCTATCTTAGGGTTTAGGTTTTAGGGCTCTAGGTCGGCCCATGGGTTGAGGGCTCCATTAAGTGTTACTTCGTCGGTAAGATAGGGTTTAGGGTTTTAGGGTTTAGGGTTTAGGGTTTAGGGTTTAGGGTTTAGGGTTTAGGGCAAGAAGGACTACATCAAGTAGTACATCTATGCCCTGAAAAGCCCGCATAGAGCCAAGACACAAGTAAACTCTGCCCCATTTTCATGGTACACCCGGTTAATTCCGATATTGTGATAGTATACTAGCCCAAAACTTGTTCTGTTGATTAAGGCCCTTGTATCATCTTAAGAAGGTTTAGAACTCAGGTCTAGATTTTGGGGCTTCAGGACTTTAGGGGTTCAGGGTTGAGGGTTTTAGATTTTATCCCTAAACCCTAAACCCTAAAGCCACGAGCCTAAGACATAAAGACTACGGGCTGGACGAGGCCTTCTTTCGGCATCCCTCGCCGACCTCCACAACCTTGGGTTCAAGGTAAGGAATTTAGGTTAACTTACCTTACCTACTATGGAGGCCCTATTATTTACGATGGGTCCCTACACCCTAAACACTAAACCCTAAACCCCTATTATGGTAAATTGGATTAAAACCCTAAACTCGAACCCAAGACTTCCAAAACCCAAAACATTGAAGCTCGTGGTTAGGTTTTAGGGTTTGCGGTTTAGACCTAACTTAACATGGCATTCATTAAAGCCCTGTTGTGATTCTGGTAAAGTTGAAATGTCCAACTCAACTTAGGGTCTGGGTTTAGGTAGCCTATTGTAGTCTGGCCGGGTTCAGGGTTTAGGGCTTAACGTTTATCGCAATCGGGAAATGCACCTTTAGCTTTTTTTTGGGGTACTATAACCCCTATGTAATCCCAAAGATTAACTTTTAGTTCCCCTACGATACCGGACAAGTAAGCTTAAGCTTTGAGTCCCAAATCCTATCAAACCCTAAACCCTCAACCGCGAAGGTAGGATACTGGACAAGTAAGGTAAGATTCTGAGACGCAGGATTTGAGGAACTCAGGCCCGACGAGGTTAGAGTCCAGAAGCGAGTCGCCGCCAAATACTTTCAACCCAAAAGTTTAGGGTTTAGGGTTTAGGGTTTAGGGTTTAGGGTTTAGGGTTTAGGCCCTATAGGCCCTAAACTCTAAACCCTATTTAAGCCGTGATTGAGATTCGGATTTAGTAAATGCCGGTTAGCAGATGGCAGAGCGACGTCTTGCTCTACTCATTGGGCAGAGCTCCTCCGTTCCTGGATTTCAAGACTTGAAATACTGTCGTCAAGACGTTGACAAGCTAGCCTGGGCTTTGGAAAAGCTTTGTGGGTTCAGGGTCTTGAGCCTCATAGATGCAGAGAAGGCTGATTTCCGGACTCTTCGCAAGCAGTTTATGCAAGAGTTGTCCGGAGAGAAGGGCGCTCTAGCACTCGTCTACTATGCCGGGCACGGCGTGTGCAGTCAGGGAATACCGTATTGGATTCCGAAAGATGCAGAAAAGGACCAGCTATCGACCTACCAAGCTGTCAACGAGTTTTTGCAGCCCTTGTGCAGTATGGTCTCCCAGTGTTCATCAGCCGACAATGCAGCTCAGTCAGCTTCAGCTTCACCGGCGCCTGGAACACGACTAGTCGTGATTCAAGACTGCTGCAGGGAGATTGTCTCGTCGAAGCCAGCTGACGACAGTTTTGCGGAGCATACGCTCCAGCTATTTCGTGAGAGAATAGACTCGCAAGTCTGTTTGGTATATGCTTGCAGTGAGGGACGGCCTGCCTTAGAGAGTCGGTCCCAGCCTCACGGCCAGTATACTGGGGCTTTCATCCGTGCTTTGGAGAAACCGGGTTTAGATTTGTACAAGCTTCTGGAAGAAAGCCGGAAGCTGTGTCTCCGTGACAGCAAGAAGTTCCAACAGCCGTGGTTCCATTTCAGCGGAAGTTTCCATGATGTCATCTTACATCCCGAAACCAGCCTCAGCGCTGGGTATTTTTTTGCTCACACATTAGCAATTGAGACGGACGCTACAGGAATTGGCTCAGCAGAAGCTCTGCTGCGCGGTCTTGCCATCGATCTCCGTAGTCTGACAGGTGGCGGAGCACAGATTCCTTCTACTTCGCGAGTCGCCAGTATTTCAGAGAAGGCTCTTTCTATCGGGCGGGAACTCATTCCGCAAGCATCTGGGCATGCGTCACGGAATTTGCTTAGCACCTGCTACCTTCTGAAAATCATCGGGCACATGTTGCCGGATGGGATACCAGTGCTGCAGACAGCTGCCGAGCTACGCGTTCGAAGCTTCCTGCATGATTGCCTGGAGAGGTACACTGACTCACCACTGTCATCATGGGCTGCGGGGGTGATCTGGGAATCCCATGAAGCCATGGATGCAACCCTGGCTGCAAAGGAGCAGATTATTCCAGACTCTGCCAGTGAACTCTCTGTCTTTGAGCTGGTGAAGCTGCCTGCCCTCTCCATCTTGCGCAAAGCTTCAGATGACATCGGCAAGAATTTTCAGGAAGCTGGAACGCAGCTCAACAAAGCCTGCAATCTGAGAGAAGCCGTGACATCTGCCATAGAACAAGTCACCGTCCAATGGCGTGAGGACGTTCGAGGGAGTTTGGACGGAGCCGAAGCAGCTATCACAGACCATGTGCAGAGCGTCATAGATTCGATAACTAGCCCCCATGAAGACCAAGCTACGGCAAGGGACTTCGTGTCAGGGCTGGCTGGCTCCGGTCTTGAAGGCAGTGCTGCGGAGAGGTTGGTGGATTCTTGGCTGGAGAACGTGAATATGAACTCCCCGCAACTCTTCCAGAGTTCTTCTCGCGGTAGTCTTTGCTTTGAACAGCATGGACATTGTGAGAGGTTCGTCGCCTCTTTTCGCGAATGGCTCCGTGTTTGTGCATGGAGCCATCTCCTTCGACACGCCGTGAGCATTTCAGAGCTGGGATCCTCTCGTATGCGAGACATCTTCAATCCGGGCAAGCCATGTTGGAGCAGCCTTGTTTCGCACTGCGAGTCTGGTCATTTGCTGGAAATGTCGTACTCCTTGTGCAGCTGCGACTGCAACCTTTGCGGTCGCTCGCAGGACTGGGATAGGGCCTGGGTTTAAAAACAAACGTTTTAAGGGGTCAACACAAATTGTTTAAGGGACCAGGAAAATTGTTTAAGGGATCCAAAAAAACCTATAGAATACAAGGCAAAAGACAACCTGCCCCAGGGATCCAAAAAACTATTCCAAGCAAAATCTAGAAAGGAGGACGGAAAGAAACAAGGAACGAAATAACTACAGACAGACATAAAGAACAAAAGAAAGACAAAAGTAAATAAAAACAGAAAGTGCGAACGAAAGAAAGCAATAATGAAAGAAATAAAGACATAACAACAAACAGAAACACAGACAGAAGGACTGCAATTCGGCGCAGACACAAAGCAAGACATAACGAACAACAAAAACAGCGTAGGAAAGACAGAACAAACGAAGTAAGCAAGCAAAAAGCAAAGATAACACATAGAAAGAAAGACAACGCAAAAACCAGAAATAAAGAAATAACGAAAGAAAGAAAGACGGAAAGAGACAGCAATTCAGCGCAGAGAGAAAGAACACAGAAAGACAGAAATAACGAGAGACAGGAAGGTATACAGAGAAAAAAAAAACAACAACGAATGAAGCAAGAAAAAAGACCAGCAACACAGCACGGAGAAGTTAGTTCAATGCTAGGGATCCTAAGTAACTACAAATCAATGTACTTGCCTTATTAAGAATTGAGTTACTTAGGCCCATGCACTCTTTGCAGACAGTAAGCTTAGACAAAAACGCTTCTGAAACTATCAAGTCGAAACCTTCATTCCCAGAGCTTCATTTCGTGCGATGAAAACGATGACGATGATGATGGTGATGATGATGCGGATGAGGATGTTGATGATGAGGATGTATATGTATATGTATGAGTGTATATGCATATGCATAAGGATGTATCTGTACATATATATCTACATATACATATATATATATATAGACATGCAAATATGCGTGTATGTACATATATATATATATAAGCATATATATATATATATATATATATATTAATATTATTCACAAAAAAGAAGTCGACTGCCGATTCCCGACCTGTGAAGTGCTGGGAGTCTCCTGATCTGGCTCGAAGAGCTGATC